ACTTAAGCACTAACTTAGCTACGATTCCCTCGGACGTACTAGGTCACAACCCAGATTTGGCCGAGTCATCACATATGATGCTATACTATCCTCTAGACATAGAGACGAGATTATTTGTATCGTCTATTGCCGTGTAATGGACCTGTCCAATTTCTCGGGCCTTGGTCTTGGGTTTGGCAGCACGGAACTAGTCGTCCTCGATCACACACCTATTCATAAAGCCAGAAATTATTTGATTTGACGTTACTAGTTATTGCCTTACGATACTACAGGAATAGGCCACTAGGACCCTAGGAAATGCCACCTAGAGTTTTACATATGTTTCTTATGGTGAGCAGGGTCTATTCAAATAGTCTCACGATGGCTTCACGTAGGCCGATGGCCTTCTCGGTAGCGTAGGAAAGAATTGATCCTGCTAGCACGAATCATTGCTCTATCATTTTGTGTTCCTCGATTTTGTAGCAACTACTCATGTAGCCAAACGAAGTTTACGGTGGCCCTAGGAAAGAAAGGGCTGGGCACAGAGGCTAAAGTGCCTGGATAATCACGAAAGCAGCTTACATAGGTACCTATCTATCCCCTGACCTGATCAGACACCCCGGAACATTAATTAGAGTGATACTCCGCTTCCTATCTATCCAATATGGAATTTTATATCTTTAACTGTGAGAATTGATATGTACTTGGCTTGGAATATACTTGGCTCTCCCCTATTGCTTACTTTTGGCTTGAGAATGATTATAGCGGCACACGTACGTGTCGATTTATTTACGAGTCTAAGTAACTGCAATTTATTATAGCACATAATGTAAGAGCGCAAACGGAATTGTTATCGGAGTTGAAGGTTTTAATACGTTCTATTAGGATTATATAGTGATTGTGTTTAAGAGTATATTTAATAGATATCGTATGTCGTTAGATACATGAACCTCTGTACTCGCCCCCGAAACGTGACTCGCTATTTATGACTGAATGTTATAGATGACAATAGCAGCCTCTGAACATTAGGCTATTGTAAGGTGACAACTTTAGGCGCTGTGCCGTAACGGTACGCCTCTAGGAGAGTATGACATTTCTGGCCTTGCGTGTTGGACCGTTTGTTGACTACGGACTTTTGTCTTGATGAGCACTTGGAGAGAAAGAGAAAAAGGAGAAGAAGAAAACACCGCCACCAAGAACAACAACAAAACCGAGTAGAAAACTACCTGATCTAATACTAAACTACCTAGGTATGCCGAAGCAACCGTAATCGAGTCTGTTATTAGATAGTTGGCGATGCAGACATTAGTATTCAATAAATATGTAAATAGATATGTAATTGGGGGGTGCCCTGCATGCGCCAACCCCCAACTCCATGTAAGCGTAAGATTGCGATTCGGCCTAGTCAGGAACCAGAGAGGTGCTAATGTATGTAGTAGCTGCAGCCTGCAGTAAACTAACGCACTGGACGACTGGATGATGGCGCCTCTCGTCTTATTTATCCGCGTAAGCTGCAAAGCCTAGGTAATATTTCGGAAGTACGACTAAAGGTACGACGCCGTTTGTAAAGTATATGCCTCTCACTTCCTTTATATAGGTCTACTAATTATAAAACATCGGCGAAAATATGAATGAGACGGATACCTATCTGACTACATCTCGGAAGAGAAATGCTTGCCCTAAAAAAAAAAAAAATAAAGAACTCCGTCAGATGGAATCTTGTCGATCTTGTATGCATGTGAGCCAACGAAGATCTCGTAGAAGCCTAAAACTTCGTACCTGGCCTAGGCACGGAAGATCGGCTATTTCAGCTATGTATCTAGTAAGAAGCCACGGTTGGATCTTCGTGGGGCTTTTCGATAGTCAGGAACCAGATCCAAACAAATCCTGGGAACCATCTGGGAATTGATAAATCAATATATTGAGTAAAATTTCCCGCTCGGAGGATTGAAAGCCACGAGAATCCCAACTGCATGGTAGGCGCACGAGACGCAGGTACACACATACGGACATTGTACCGCGTGGGCGATAGGATAGCGCCTTACGCCGCGCCCAAGTATTAAATCATTGGTGAGAAGATTCGAGCTTCCGGATCTGGGCCCCGGACTGCGAGGGCCATATATTGTAAACTACACCAGTGGCGTTTCCGTAGCGTCTTATTCCTCCGTTTATATGAGAACGTTGGCGTTGTTACGTACTTACTATGTATACCGCCTCGTTGGCTGTTAGTGCGATTGATCATAAGAGATCCGATTTATCTACGATTTAAGTCAACGAGTTTCACAGATTTGCGCCGCTGGTTGCCCACGGGCCACAAACCACAAACCACAAACCACGATCCATTAACACACGGTCCACGGATGTCTAAGCGAGTTGGAACCAGGTGTTTCTCGTGTTCAGATCAACAGCCGCCATGGATTTGGACGGAAAATAAACATGGGTGATTTATGGAGTACATAGGGGAGGTGGGTGGTCTTAACCATAGTAGGCCGTAACCTAGTAGGCTTGGGTGGGATGGACAAATATGCAGAGCGGAAATTCACAAGGTGAGATACCAAATTTGTATTCCCACGTAGCTGTACTACAGCTACACATACTATGTAGAGTCCTATGTCCGGCAGGCTGTGCCTATGGACAGCGACCAATGCGTACACGAGCTGTCCCGTTTCGGCTGGAGAGTAGACCTGAATCTGACATTGCTCCGATTTGAAGCATTTGACGTAACAGGAGGGGGGAACTATTGTCAACAACGGATACCGAGAGAGGGAGCGAGCGGAAGGGGAGGTGGCTGCGTGTACAGCTCTCCCGAAACAATTGACTTTCCAGAAGTTTTGAATCCTAAACAGCGACGAGCCCTAAACCCGGGGATCTGGTTTTGCTCAACTCCATGGCCAGCTGCTCCATGGCTTAAGGCCTTAAGGCTGGTCATCCGAAACTGAAAAGAAAAAGAAAAAGAAATAGGGTTGGGATTGCCGGGATCATTTGACTCTGTGAAACGACATATATATATATTACATATGAAGAATAATCCGTCGTCGAAGGATGCCATCGCATGTAGATACTACCTGTATGTACTTGGGATCTTCTGTTAGAACGTTTCAATCTGATGAAACGGGTTCATCGTTGACTTACTACAACAAGAATCCCCCCAGTTTGACGGAGCCAACGCCTACTGTAATCAATTCCATCTTTCTCTCATCCTCGTTTCACAACTGACGTTGATTTGATCGTACCCAAAACTACAACACACCGCACCGATCAACAATTGTACACCTTGGCCGGACTGCCTGTCGATTTTAATTTACCTGTCCGATGTTGGACGCCCGGTGAGAAAGCAAGCAAATGGGTATTATCGCAATGCCACGGCAAGTTAATAATAAATGATGGAAGAATCAATCAATCCCTCATTCCCCACCAAGGTGGTGCAATAGTGCGATAGTGCGATAGTGCGCATCAGTCAGAGCTGTGTAGTATGTACTATGTAGAGCGCGAGTCCAAGGAAATTAATAAATTGCTTGAGGGCGCAGCAGGTTGGGAGCCAATTGGTGATCGAGTAACGTCCGCTATTTCTAGGACAGCCGGTCCAATTAGGGGTGCATGAACCGGACAGGGGTTAAATGCATTAAGAACCTGATCTAATTACGCGTCAGTTAACTGAGAAGACTTGTTTTTTCTACCAATTGCTGTGTTAATCACCTTCCTTTTTGCGGGTAGCTAGCGCCTTCTTCCAAGTATTTCAAGATGGACCCGCAAGTACTTCATCTTAGACGCCCTAGTCCCCAAGACCTGCCGCCCCTCCAAATCACGCCAGTGCTATGTATTTATGTATCGACCTGCATTGTGCAGCAGCGCGGACGGGAACCTTTTTACAGCACATCTGCCCTTGCTTTCATCCAGCCCGTCTGCACGTCGGTACGGACGTCGCAGCCCTTGAGATTATTATTGCATTAGGTGCATATATTTAATCTGTACGTATGTACGTCTTAGGAAGTCGGGAGTTGGATAGCGAAGGCGAAGTTGAAATATCCGCTGCTGCGCACGAGGCATTAGCATCGCCATTATATTTGTTGCACGACATTAGAAGAGATGGGACAAAATCCTAAAGGAAAAAAAAAAGAAAAAGAAAAGAAAAAAAAAGGGGTAAAAGGGCTCTATGTACTTAGAATTACTAGCCTCTGTCATTCCATTCAAGCCTCCCTCTTCTTATTCCATTCTTCATTGTCTCTCTTCTACTTACGACATCTTCATCACAACAGGATCTAACAATAGAACCAGTAGTTACTGCAATAGAATGAACAAATGTTTTGCATAGTACATTAGTACATAGTATTGACGCTTGTCAGTTCTGTCAAGGCTCAAAAAAAGTAGGTAGTCTTGGCCCCATTTCCTAAATAAGAGAGTCCAATATCGCTCCCCAATGCCACTAGACTATTTATGGACTAGCCCCACGTAATTAGCCATCTCAACTCCACCCCCTTCCCTGGCCCCCCCTGGTCCGTCTCCCCTGATCAATGAACAGACTGGTCAATAACGAGGCACCACCCCTGGGATTTAGTGCCTTGGCACCTTTAGCCACGACTCCTCTTCCACACTTTCCCTCTCCCACGTTTCCTCCAGCTGCTTCTCATTTACCCCTTCGACCTGCCTTGCCTTTCGCCCTCCACCCTACCTCTTCCGTCTTTCGCTCTTTTCCCTTTCGCCGACCTCGTAAGGTACACCTTTCGACGACAATATCCCCTCTCGGCGCTGGTCCTCCAACTACCTTGGAGCCTTGACCGCGAACCCGACGACTGCTTCGTAGTCGATCAGCCACCGGCAAGGCCAATGCATCGCTGAGGAATCGCCCGCGCGATACGTCGTGAACACCACACAATATACCAAATTGGAATTACCAGTCCAGATCTAAGTTGACGATTTATTCGTCGCGCCGCTCTTTTGAAAACAACATCAACAATAACAACAACAACTACTACTATATAACAAAACTATTTTGCTTGCGAACAAGGTCAGTGAAGAGCGTATATCATTGGGAGTCATCGTCATGGAGAGGATATAGAAGAATGGAGCAGATTTCCTTGACCCACGCCTGCTTCATATGGGGATCTGTCGTGGATCGGTCGTGCACTCTTAATATTGCTGCGGACAGGACGTAAAGTGCTGACAATCTTGCCCACAGCATCCACTCGTTGACATTTTTTGTCAAGTACATTCGTTCCAAATTATCCTGACATAGTAGGTAGAGCTGAAGTCTGACAATATTCCTCGCCATCTGGTGAGACTAACACTCGCCCTCAGTTACGATTTCGCATAGCCGTCAATTATCGAATTATACCCGCTGTAGCTGTCAACCAACGGTCAATCTGCCTGTCAAGAAGTTAAACCTTAATTTTAAGTCATCATGCATAAGGGGTCGTTAGTCGTAGCTGCTTTAGTGGCCGCTGCGTCGCTAGCAGGCGCCGAGCCGGAAAATAGACCAAAGATATACTTCCCTAGACATGTCAAGAGGCAGTATACTAACCACACCATTACGAGTTCGGCGTCGCAGAGTACCCAAAGCGAGTCGTCGTCGTCGGATTTGATAACTCATTCCTCGACGAAGAAGGACACGATTTCCGACTTATTGTCGAGTCTTCTTGGTGGGTCTTTGGACTCAACTGATTCTTCGACACTAACAAGCTCATCGTCTACGTCCCCTACCTCGTCTACCTCATCTTCATCTACATCGTCCCCGACTCGGATTTCTTCCGTGACGGGTACATCTCCCACGAGCGAATCCGGATCCCAGTCTCAGACTCAGTCCCAGTCGTCCCAGTCCCAGTCTGAATCTCAGACCCAATCCAAGGGTTCGTCTACTAAGACGAGCAGCAGCAGCAGCAGCACCGGCACCAGCGGTACCAGCAGCGGTAGTAGTAGTAGTAGCAGCAGCAGCAGCAGTGTGGGCTCTACTGGAGGGGTTCCACCGCTAATTGTGTTACCAACACTTAGCTTAGATCTCCCGACTCTATTGCCGCCAGAGACCACATCTTCTTCCGCCAACAAGACGGCGATCACGTCCTCGACAGGAACATTGACGGGGACGACTACTGCCGCTCCCACCACGACTGCTGAATCTAAGAATGAATCATCCACAATTGATACTAGTGCCCTACCCGTAACCGAATCTACGATCGAAGCCAACACGACAACGGTGCCGTCGTCTTCTTCGGGCATTCTTATAGCTCCTACGGGTGTCGTGACCCAATCTTCTAGCATTCCGACTTCTACGAGTTCAGATGGCGGGCTTATTGGTGGTATAACCAGCGTTGTTGGTGGAGTTACAAGTGCCGTGGGTGATGTTACGAGTGCCGTTCTTCCGGCGTCGACTGCCAACGCTACGGAGTCTGGCACAGGAGTGAGCACGAGCACGGGTACAGCTGCTTCTACCGGAATTAGCGCGAGCAGTACAGACAGCGGGTTGCTACCAACCCTTCTGCCTACATCTCTCTCTCTTTTCCCGACGACATCATTCCCTGGCACTGCTCCTACGGCCTCTGCCGCATCCACTGCCTCTGCCGCCCCTACTGCCTCCGCATCAAGCTCGGAAACTCCCCTCTTATCGCTACCACCGATCTTAGGTACGGGTTCGTCGACGGTTTCAGTCCCAACGTCGATTATTGGAAACACTACGGAATCAACAACTGTTTCGTCAACTGGATCCGGCAGCGTCAGCGTGCCAACCACAATTGCCACTCCAGTTCCTAGTAACAGCACAACGATAACTGACTCGAGTAGCCTACCAACTATTACATCTCCTACTGTGTCACCTAACTCTACGGTTTCGTCAACGGATTCTCTCACCTCTGTGCCTACCTCCGTGCCCAGTTCTGTGCCTTCTACTGTGTCTACTAGTGTCTTCTCAGTTCCTCTCAATACGACTGTTCCTCCGATTACTAGTTCCCAGCCGACAACGACTATCGAAACTTCTACAAGTTCAAGCGTTGAGTCTCCCATTGTCATTTCGACCAGCTCCTCTGTTACGCCTACGCCTACGCCTACGCCCACAACTACATCGACGCCCAGGCCGTTTACTAGTGCCACTGCGATAGCTACAATTACGGATTCTGAGTCTTGGCTCCCAACTACGATCATTGTCCAGCCATCCACTAGCACTCCCAGCACTGACGTGACCCGTACCGCTACAGGAATTCCAACGTCATTACCAAAGGCCATTACTCCTTCGACGAAGCCACCAGAGCAGCCCGATGGCACAACGCTCATCCAGATCTCATTCCTGTTCGGTGAGAATTACCAGCACCTTGTGAACGAGCCCCTAGCTGCTTCCCAGATGTTCGTGCTCCTCCCTCAAGGTCTTGCGTTCGGCGGTGGCTATGATATCAGCAGGGTCAAAATGTATAGCATTAGGCCTTACGACACTACTGCTCGCCTGGGCTACATTACCTCGCAAGCCATGGTCTACTATCCCACTGAGGGCATTGCCCAGCTTAGCAACGATATTGGATACCCTACAACTCCTTTGTACAATCACAAGAATCCCCTAGTGAAGAATTTGACGAGTGAGATTAACCCGGCCATTGGTATCATGCCAGGTGATCTGCTTGATGGTGTTCCCGGTTCTAGTGGAAGCAGTGGAGATGGTTCAACCGACGCTGGTACTCCCAACAACAATGACCCATTTGATACACAGGGTCCCAACGAGAAGACGACAAGCGCGCAACAGGGAATGACCGCCGGTATTGCTGTTGGTGCCGCTAGTGTTGCCGGTGCATATGGTGCTGCCATGTTCATCATTGCCCGCCGCTACAAGCGAAAGAAGCAGAGGCACCAGCGAAGCAGCTCCGTAACCTTACCTTCCGAGATGCGACAGAGCGGAAGTCCGGCTTTGATGGGTGGTGCGTTGCTGAGTCGGGATTTTACAAGCAATCCGGGATACGGTGGGGCTGGAGGAAATACTCGTGACAGCCAGGGCAGTGGGAGGAGCGGAATGAACAGCTCGGCACGCACTGCGAACATCTCGGCGCCTGTCGCAGCTGAGAATTCTCTTGGCTGGAACTGAGCCATCGTCCATGACCTGCACATCACATCCGTTTTTATTTTATAGTTCGATACCCATCCAGGAGGCGTTGCCAAGCCACTGTGGGCGGCCTGCCTAAGGAGTTGCGACCCTTGTGAGCATTCACTTAGGTTTTCTTGTGATTTACATTCTCAGATGGCTGGCTTTATCAAAGATATTTGAATATGCCGCCGAAAAAATTAACTACGAATCCTTGGCATCTATGGAGATCTCGGCCCACCTTTTGCTGGCGGGGATCTGGTGACCAAGGTACTTTAATCTAATGCGTTTGTTTGCACTTGCGGGAGTCGGAAGGGAGGCAAGATGCTTCGTGCCGGTTTGGAGTAGAGGCTGAAAGGAGGAAACGGATGCTGAAGATGGCTCTAGAGGGCCCGCGGCAACGACTGACCGTGGAATTGTATATTTATGACTATGACGCCTGCTCCGAATAGACACGTCCAATTCGAATCTGGTGTTGAAGGAAGATGGTTGAAAAAGAGAAGTCGAGACAACCCAATAGCGGCCCTCTAGAGCCGTCGTGTGTAATGGTTGACATATACCACGAATAGACGAAAAGAAAATCATTAAAAGTTCCTTTGGCTGGGTTGCTTGTATATTGAGAGCTTCGCGCTATGTTCTATAATATCTAGCTGATATTAACTTTAGGTTTGTCTTTATTAATGATTAAGACAGCAACTACTACTAGAGTTATTTGTATGAAGTACTATATACAACCACGCCTAAATATAACATCTCATTTGTTCCTACTTGAACCTTCTTGACTTTCTAAACCTAGTCTGATATGAGGTAGTTACTACCTGCCGGTAAATCTTCGGGGCTAACCTTAATTGGGTTTGGAGGATAGAAAATTACCGGCAGTGAAGCCAGTCATCCTTCAAATTTCCTCCTCAGTTTCTCAACCTCACATTGACTGTATAGCATCGCAAACTTCATAGCGCGCCCTCTCTTCCCTTCTACAGGAACTATACGAATAATTGACTGTGCCATATTCTGCTGCACAGTCAAAATCATATTCTCTACTTGTCTCTCCCGCCCTACTTTATGCAACAAGAGTTTTCCGAGGTTTCAAATCAGATTCAACTAGACAACACTTCTCAGTCCCCTAAACCCCTCCGACAACATGGCTTTCAGCACCATGGTCTCAGTGGCAACGCCCATGGCTCCCTACTGCAACAGCAGTCTGGTGACGTGTCGCCGCTGTCTACGCGGGGGGACGCCGGCGCTGGAGTTAGTGGAGAAGGCGTTGACCCGGATTCCCTCCAGAAGCAATTGCGCCGATTGAACGACGCTCGTGGCGAGCCGGATGCGACGCGATCCAAGGCCCCAGGCCAACGAATATTAGCATATGAAAGTGCATTGACACCAACCATACCGAGGCAGGCTCTTGGATTTAAGGTCATTAAACGCGCCGACGCGGGTTCTGACGGCGTCCAACTGTCTGATTTCCCCAATGGTATGCCACCTCAGTGCTCATCAACACTAGTATTTAGTCTAATTATATCGTAGAGATTTTAACGCATATCTTATCGCATTTGCATCCCGACTCGCACGCATCTGTAGCCTTAGTATCGAAGCGATTTTATTCGTTGGTCACCACCCCTCATGCGTGGCGCATGGCCTTTCAGCGGTTCTTTCCCGGACAGGACGCACTGGTCACGGCTGCTAAGCCTCATGGTAGGATATGGGACCAAGATGATTCGGACCTCGTGCGCTCAGAAGTTCGTCATTTTACGCGGCTTACACCACATGCTTCCTGGCGCAGCGAATATCTTTTGAGAACTCGACTTCTCCGTAGTCTTGTTAGGGGAAAGCCGGGATCGAGCTCCGGAGGCATCGGTTCTTCCTTGAGGACTAGCCAGTCCGGTAAGAAGGCGAGTGCGGTCTTGACTTATAACACCAAAGCCCCGACACCAGTGACCCATATTCATGCTACCTTTAATCCCGGCGGGAAGAAGCCGCCCAGGGTAGTTCATGGCGCATCGGAAATGGGAATCGCCAGTGCGAGCGATCCTACCTGTGGCAAGGTTGAGAAATGGGGTTTAGATGAGATAGGCTTTGCTCAATTAGACGAAGTCGTGCCATTTCTTTTACCTTATGGGGTCGGCGAAGGTCCCGCCGCTGTTCCTAACGTTATGGATGTTAGCCAGCCGTATGGACTTGTTGCTGGAGAAGGCTTTCCCGGCGGTCGCGTATTCTATCGTTCAAGTGGCGAGTATAGAGGTAAACATCTTGGCCAAGAAACAGGACTCATTGAGGCCCATCCCGACATTCCAAAGATCCCAGAGCTCTCCGAGAGTGTCTGCGCAGTCTGGATCGCCAAATCCTCCGCTCTTCCCTCTATGACCCAATCGTTGGTAGGGATCATGATCGGCTCATCGTTAGGTGTCGTGACTTCATATGCGCTTGGTTACGATCCTAGTGGTCCACGATACGCCGCAGGTGAGATGAGCGCCCGTTGGGTGCTTAGTCCAGGCGTGCCTATCATCGCACTCAAAGTTGATGAAAGCTATAGCCAGAAGCGTAAAGCTCTCGGCCGAGTGTGGGCAGTGGCCCTGAACGCGTTGGGCGAGGTATACTACCTAACACAACCCCCGACTGCACCTACCAGCAAGACAAAAGCCGATGATATTGTCAAGCTCGCATGGCATACAGGTCGCTCGACTTCTTGGCATCTAGTAGAAGCTAGTCGACGACAGGCGCGTATGGATGAGTCAGGTAAAAATGCGGTCCGTGGGGCCTATTCCCCAAGATCGCCCTCGAATAGCATGGGTCTCACCAAAGATCAAATGGCTGCAGAAGCTCGCGAGATTGAAAGGTTCCTCCGCTATAAACCAGCTCATTTCCGCAAGGTATGTCATGGGTGGGATATGCGTCGAAAGCTTGAAGTAGATTTCGCAAATGACGACGAACATGGAGCCGGTGAAAGTGTGTTCATCCTCGATTGCGCGCTGGAGGAAGACCAAACTTCGGCTATCAAGAGGTTCCAGCGAAGTACTACAGGTCGAACCCAACCTAGCACTCGGCCAGTTACCAGTCCAGAATCCACCGTAGAAGCCGCCCCAGCTCCCTCCATATTCGGTGGCGACAGTATGAGATCGCCTTCTCCAAATTCGTCTGGTTCGCCGTTACTTAAGCAAGTATTGTCAGCTTCGTGCAAGTCGTCTCCACCAAATATGACCGGTACTGGGAAGTCAGATCTGGATGATTGGTCCGAGACGTGCTTTTGCTCGAAAGAGCTTGGTAATACGCAGATAACTGCGAGCGGCATAGACACTTCGCAACTTGCTCTAATCACTTCTTTCGAAGACCCTTTGAAAGCTACGGTGGGCTTAACTTCGAGTGGCCCATCAACGCCAGCCAGGCAAGCACCATCGGATATTCCTGGTAGACGGGCGAGACTATTCGGCGTGGGCACGAACAAGGGAAAGGTTATACTGTGGAATACGCGAGAACTTCATACTGGCGATGGTGTACACCCTGTCAGAATCATCCAAACAGAGTCTCCTAAGGTTTCTTGCTTAGCCCTGTCGGCTCTTTACCTAGTACATGGCGGTACCGACGGGCTTGTCCAAGCTTGGGATCCCCTAGCGTCTACATTAGAGCCTCTTAAGACCATCAATTCTCGGTCTCCAGGCCGGGTGCCTCGCCATTTACTCCTTACCAATCCTGCGTCGCATGCTACAAATTTCTCGGCTGTCGGGGCCATCTACCTGGATCCCGATCCAACGGTCTTACACGGAATAGTGGCATTCGGAACATTTGTGCGCTACTGGGCCTATAGTTCTTCAAACTATACCACGGGGCGCAAGCGCCGGCATCGCCATTCTGATATTCACGGTCGAGCCTCCGGTCGACGTCACGGCGGTGGTGTTGAGGGCTACATTGCCGCCGAAGCTGAAGAGCTACGTAACGAGCAACAGCACAAGGAACGAGAACAAGCTCGACTTCGTTCCCGCTTTGGCGTTGGCTTTGGAGATTTGACAGAAGAGGAGGCTTTGCGCTACGCTGAAATGATGTCTCAGGAGTCCTTCCTTCTTGACAGGCAACGCCGGACAAGCGCTAGCGACACGGGATCCGCTGCAGATTTCGACACGACGTCTAGTTCTAACAGCACCGTCACCCCCGATCCAAGCGTAACGGATCCAAGTCCTCTAGCGGCTAGTTCAAGCGCCAATAATAACACGACGGACGAGAGTGATTACGAGCGCCAGATTCAAGCCGCGATTCGCTTATCTCTCATGGAGGGGGTCAACGACACGGGAAGTTCACCAAGGGCTAGTAGTTCTGGAGAGTACGCGGCTCCGATTACGATTAAGGAGAATAGAATCACAAAGCCTTCGTTCAGCAGCTCGCCTTCGTCGAGTCATACCCCCATCGTCAAACAAGCCGAATCTTCTAGCTTCACTGCGACAAGCCTCAACTCGGTCGCTGATGACGATCTAGAATTTGCGCTGCAACTTAGTCTCGCGGAGGAAGAAAGCAGGAAGACAAGCATGCCGGCTTTGGAAGATATAGACAATGAGTTCCCTACGCTCGAGGGAAGCGGGTTGGGGAAGGGGAAGAGGAAGGCTGTTTGATGCCTCGGCCCTTGGCAGGGGAGGAATTACGTTCTTGGTATTATATTGGTATTGCGTTTTCTGATTGTTTCTATATTTTTCTCTTCTCGCCCGCAAACAGGGCTTAATTAGTTGATACGACTTTCCGATGCCTTTGGCTTCGTCCATAAGGAATCGTTTATATTATTGCTATACAAAAAGTATCAAATCTTGTTTTGGTAATTGCCTATGCCCTTGATATCATACGTATAGTATACTATGTGTTGTTGAATGTCTAGTGTATAAGATGATAGATGATATTTGGTCTTACCCAGTATCTGATGCCTAGGTGTTTACCTATTCTTTAGAAAATATTTTATTACACGTCGTGGTTGGGTCTACGTAATTCAGACTTGAAGAAGCACACAATCACTAAATAACCGATAAGAATAGGTACCTAGGTAGACAGCATGCTTAAGAGAGCGGTCTCTATTTTTCCTATTTTCTGTAGCTCGGTACCTAGGCATAGCCAGCTTGTCTATACCAAACGCCGCA